TGGACCGTCACGAGTGGCTCCGAGCTGAAGTTGAACGAGATGGGGGAGGTACCTGCAAGGCACTCCGATGCTAAAGTAAGTGGGAGTACGAGCAGGCAAAAAGTATGAGTATGGATAAGAGAATGAATACCTGACCCTCTGGGAACAGAGGGTATTTATAGCCCCCAGCGCTGGGCCAAGGTCCCTTCATTGGGCCGGACAGGTTTGGCCCAATGAAGAAACTGCCAGGTTCTACGTGTGTAGTGGGGACCCGCACGTGGTCTCCTTCCTGGATGTTCTGCGAGAAGTACGGACGGACGAGGACGCGGTCTTTTCGAAATCCAGGTGATGGTGTAGTGGTCATAGTCTGCCCTACGAGGGGCGCTCGAGCTGAGGTCGAGATGAACTGTATGAAGTCGAGGATGTCGTATCAGCGGAGAGTGTCGGACACGGCTGTGGCTTCTTGGCCGGCGCGACCCCCTGCAAGGTCGTTTGGATTGGGCCTTCATCCTTGCTTTTGGGTCAGCCCGACCCAGTCCAGAACAGTGTGTATCATTATATGAGAGTTGTACCAGGTATTACATGATAAAGAGACTTGTGATTTTCTCCTTAACAATGAAATTGCACCAAAGTTCAACCATAAATTCTTATCTTTTTTATTGGATGTACTTACATAACATCCAAAAGTTAGCATTAAAATATATGCTTTATTACATATGATATAGTCCTACTTAGAGAATGATTGAGAATTTAAATGAGAGGTTGAAGAACTAATGATGAACAATAAAAACATGTCTTTCAAGTAAAACGGAATATATGAAATATAAATTTAACAACAAAAAAGCAAAGTGTTTCTAACATAAAAACAAAAGTTGAATATCAGCTTATACCACAAATTATGTGGTTTAAATAATTTAGGTCTATATTACAAAACAATAGAGAAATGGAAGAAAACTTAAATAATTAATTCAAGTTGGGTAGTTGAAATGGAGGAAGGCCATAAGAGTTTTATGTGACAATCGGAAGGAAAATTTTGACGGAGAGTTGTAAAACTTGTACAAAATTAAATGTTGGACAATTTAGAACCAATACAAGAATAAACTAAGTGTAGTACTGATAAAGAAGTTGTGTTCTATGTGATATAATTTAGAAATGACAACATTAAAGAGTATTAGAATAACACCTATAATAAAAATAATGACAAAAAATAAGCTTAAATGATTTGGCCATGTAGAAATAGTCAAACAGATAGAGCCAAACCTAGAAAAATTAAAGAAACTATTTAGATTTCAAAATTCACAAATTGAATAAAAACATAATCTTAATAGAACATTATATTATAATGTGATTTAGGTAGCTTATCCCACTTAATAGAAACAACTTGAATGTATGTTGTATTAGTTGAGTATTCCAACAATGACATTGTGCATTTTCTTAGTAGAACGTAATGAATTCTAAAAAATAAATATTATAAATTGTTAACTTAGATATAAAAAAAAAAAGATAGAGTAAATCAAAATTTAAAATTAAGAAACTGCTCGAGTAATTTTGCTGTAACTTTCTCTCTTGCATGAAATACGAGCTGTGTGTAGTCAACAAAAATTAAATCCCTTCACAGTAGAGTTTCAAATACTTAACGAATTAACCAAACAAACAAGTGGAATATTCAGTTTTCCCCCTAGTCAAAAGCCTCGTCGGGAAAAATAAGTTTCCATGGCAAAGGATATTAGTTGCAGCAAAGGAGATTGAGATTATATAACAGATTAAGACAACAAATCCGTCCATAAAAATTTCACAAATAACCAAACAACTAAAAAATCTCCATAGACTAAGTTGAGTAAATTGGAGAAGCATGTTTAGTTAAAATCTACGGTGCTATTTTTTATACTTTATTTTTAGTAGTTGGTTCTAACCAGTCAACTAGAAAGCCTTTGAGAATGAATCTATTCTGCATACATGAAATCCAAAAACAGAAACATGCACAACTGAAGAAACATGCAAAACAGAAATGCAACTATGCATAATTGCATCAAACAAGAGAAACTGTGTCGAAAAGCTAATCAAACGCAGTTATGCAGAAACACATGCAGAAGTATCAAAAGCAGCAATTGAAGAAATGCTCAGCCAGAAAGACATGCAGCAGCAAAAGAGCAGTTGACAGAAACAGAAACAAAAAAAATGATGTGCACAGAATTGCAGAACAAGAAAAATATGCAGCAGAAGCATAATGGACAGAAACACAATATGTACAGAACCAAAACAGTAAGAACATAACAGCAGAACTAGCAAGCCAATAACTGTATCACAGGAATCAAAGTTGCAAAAGCATGAATAACAACAGCAACAACCAAGCGTTATCCCACTAAATGCGGTCGGTAGTTGCAGAAGCAAGAATAAAATCAAAAATTTTAATGCATATTAAGAGATGGAAATGAACCGGCGTGAATTTTTTAGGTACAGTCAATATGACCTACATCCTCAGGAGAAAGCAGCTTCACTATCAATCAAAGAATTCAGTTACAAACAGAGAACCCTTTATTCTTGCTCATTTTATGTTCAAGATGAAAAAGAACTCAAATTTTCCATACTCTATTTTCTCTCAGTCAAAAACCCCTGATCCCTCACTCAAAGTGTTCCTCTCTCAAGTTCAAAAGATTTTTCTCTTTCTCTGTCGTGAAAACAAAGAAAGAAATCAGTCTTCCTTTAGGATTATAAAAACAAGGTCTAATAACCATGCTCCCTTTTTATCTCATAAGCCCAAGAGGCCCAAGAGACCAACGAGAGCCTAACATGAAAACAACGTCCACAAGAGAACAAATGGAGCCCGCCCAAAAAAATATATATTTGAAGGCAATCTTCACATTAGCCATTATATCGGCAATATTATTGGGTTGGATCTTCTCCTAATTTTGAATCACAAGAGATGGTTTTTCTTTAAAAATATAACAGGAAATGGTTTTATGAGAGTTCAATTGTTAAATATAATTACCAGTGTCTACAAGAAGTCATGATAGGTTCTTGTCTGATAAAAATTATGATATTTTATCTCCAATAGGACAAATATATCTACTTGTTTAAGAATAGGAAAAGATCCGATCCAATAATATTTACCATACTTCATAAGATTTTTGTTTTAAATTAAAAAAATGCACTGGCAAGAAAACACTGGCATTTTTAACACTAATAGTATAGGGTCATTTAGGAAGATTAAGCATATGACCTCAAACGAATTACACAAGACAAACTCTTTGCCACCAGGAAGTAGCCTAGTCTTAGTGGTTTACGAGTCAGCTTTAACATACCATAGCAAACATCTAACTTAGAATGACAAATTTTACAGCACTGATGGTCAGTGTCTAGTTGTCCACTTACCATTGTAAAATATAGTTATGGCTATTACTTTAATTGTTAATATAACTCGTTGACTTGATTTCAGTATCTGCTAACTAATAGCTTATTATTTTCTGTTATAACATGGCTATGTGACAGTTTTTTTCACAGCAGCTATGAGACAGTTAACAAACAACAAAAGCAGCATTGATACTATTTCTCATGTAACAACAATCCATCGCACTTCATTGATTTCAGCAAATGTTATTTGTTCATGTAAAACATAAACAACTGTTATTAGGTTGTACAATGCTATTTCTAAGAAATAAAAGAATTATCATTGTCGCATGATAATATACCTCAATCATAAAGCATGTAAAAAATGGTACAGTTAATTTCTAAAGTTTATACTTTATAGGCAGCAGGACTTCTATCACTGGCTCCTAATCAGATATGGTAATAAAATGTACTTCAAAACTATCTACCTGGAAAATTCTTCCCTTGTTATCAAATCAAATTTGTTATAATCTAGTATATCGTAATTTGTTATAATCTTAGTTTACCAAGTATATCGTAAGTTTGGGTGCTATGTAAAGATAATAGACATCACCTGAATTCCCAAACCACATTAGACATCACCTAAGTTAATGTTCTGGTACCATTTAATCTATACACATTATTATAATAATAGCATTTTTCCTTAGCAATTTATATTCGAATCACAGAATCCATATTCTAGACCAGATCTACACTTCTAAGCAAACAAAGAAAGATTCAAATTATCATCTGTCGTTGAACCTGTCAAGTTTCAAAGATAAGAATACCCTGATTAAATTTTCTCTGATTACGATTCAATAAGAATAAGATTAAGTCAGTAGCTTTCAGCATGCTGACAACTGAATTAAAAATTCATATCTAAGAGTCAGTTTGCGTATTGCAAAAATTTGACAGTGAAAATTGTTGAGAGTCTTGAAACTATAAAACTCTTAAGAGCAACATGAGCAAACTTTAAGCTCATTAAACTAAAAAACAGCAATACTCTATCTTTTCAAGATATATGAAAAATTGCTGTGAATGTTTTAAGCATAAGTACATGTATTTTGTACAAATTGATCCTGTCAAAAAGAATACCTAGACACCCTTGTGAAAAAAAATTATACACCAGAGGTAAAATATTGCAACTGAAGTATGCAAAATAAAGTTTAGTATGTAGCTTTTGCGTTGAAATCCCCTTACTCAAGCCATATTGCTAAAAGCTAGGATCACTAAGAATTCATTCTCATTTTGATTGTGATAAATTTAAGTAGCAAAACTGTTCAACTAAGAACAACGATTTGACATATAGTTTCCTTGCACCACACATACAAACACCCTAAATGGATTGGACTTTCATAATGTACTAGCCTTTGAGAGCTTCTACTCGGAACCTAAAGCAACATATTTTTCAAAAACAGAACAATAAGTAAGTAACTATATATGGTACCAGACACACACAAAAACAATCAGATGTTACTGAAGGATTACATTTTAAGTGAAAATATACAATCAAGTGCAATAATTTCATTTTCTATATCATAATATGACTGAAATAGAATATCACAAGGTTCATAATGCAAGTTGAGAAGAAAAAAAATGTTCACTAAATCCAAAAACATAAGCACATTGATCCAACCAATCTCTTAAACACGTCCCTAGAATATAACAAGCAACGAAAACAGAGTGTAAATCAAGAAACAAGCGTACGCTATCAACCCACGATGTTCATCGCCACCATCCGTGAGAGAGACCACGAGACCCGTGGAAGCCCTAGTGGCCCATAAAACGAAAACCGCAGCGATCGAGATTCCAAGGAAACCCCCCTGTGGAATAAAAAGCGACAGTGCAGAGAAAATCACCACCGGCAACATTGAATAACCAACCACACTGGTGCAGGTATGTAGATCCAAATTTCCAGTCCGACCAGCCAGCATGTTGAAAACAACGTATAAAAAGATAGATGAAACCACGATCCAACCAAATATCACACCGAATTGAATCTTCCCGGCGAGTAATTGAAACAGGGAGAACGCCATGTAGAGAAGAATAGGACCGGATAGATCAGCGTCTTTGTGGACAGTGTGGTTCACACGAAACGGGTTAAGAACCGATCTGATTTTGCTCCAGATTTGATCAGGATGAATACCTAGCTCGTCGAGAAGAGGCTCCTCGTCGTCGAAGTTAACCGAACCACCACCGATGCCGGGGCCGGAGTACATAGGACCGGAGGATGTCGAAACGGCGGCGGAGCCAATGTCGAATGACATGAAAGGGATGCCGGAGTTAGGTTGAAACGGCGGTCTTGGTACGCGGCGTTGTTGGTTGTTAGGGTCGCCGAGAGACGGGTTCCCGGCGGATGCGAAAGATACCGGCGGGATTTTGAACTCTTTCTCCATGATTTTGAGATCTGGTTGAAGAACGGTGAAATTAGGGTTTTCAGAAGGTTCAAATTGAATCTCGAAATTTTAGGGTTTTTTTCGATCTTGTTCGTTAGAGTGTGTGTAGAAGAATATGTGGATTCTGTTTGACGCTGCGTTTTACTTTTTCGTCTCTTGATTTGAAGCTTCCTGCGAAGAGGTTAACGCAGGAAAATTAAATGGAAAAGAAAGTCAAGAGGTTAACTTAGGAAAATTAATGCTTTATTGCATTCCCCGTAAAATTTAGACTAAGGTTAAATGTATTTTATCTTCCGCAATAATTGTGAATTTTTTTTCTTTAAAAAAAAATTTTTTTTTTAACCTCTTAACAAAATAAAATAAAATTTTTTTTAATTTGATTTTGAGTCAAAATTTAAGTAGAATTTACAAACTTAACGTTTGATATAGCTTTTTTTATTTATTTATTTTTGTTAAATTTTACATTGAAATTCGACTATTTTTAAATTTCTTTTTTCTTTTAATTTTTTTTAATTTTTATTTTCTCTCACTTTAACAAGTTTATTGTTTTTTTTTTATTCTATATTAATTTGATACATTAATTTTGTGTGGTATTTAATTTTTTCGATAGGTATTTAATTTTGTTTTTTGGACGGTCTAGATTTTGTCGACAAATATTGAATGGTTTGCTCCCTGATTTCGACAACAGGAGGGTGACGAAGATCGAATATAGAGAATATTTCATAAATACTGATGGTTGGATAAAATATAATCTAACCGAGGTGAATCATCGATAATATAATTTTAAACAAACGCTTGACATAATTCTAATAAAGAAATTATCATTTGAAGTTTTAGAAAAAAACAATGAACACTAGAAAATAAAACAACATTAAGGTCGATATAAAAAACAATCCGGTGAAAATCATGAATTACTTTGTCAGTAAAAAAAAAATTGTTATGCACACATTATATAATAAAATATTAAGATTAATTAAAATACACTTTTAATTTAAAACTATTTTATATTATTATCCAATTAAAATTAATTATTTTAACATATAAAAAGAGAAACATATGAAAAAAATAGTTATTAAAAAAAATTAATTTTAATTGGGTGATAGTGTAAAATTAATTAGTCTCTAAAATATTTAGTCTAGATTGTTATTACTTGGGCATTATTATTAGGTTCTCATAGATATTCTGAATTATTAGTTATTGGAGATAGATAAATATACTAGCTTATATAAGAACTCAATTGTGTATTTTAAATAGGGTGTATTTAGTTTGAAATTTTATTGTTGTAACTGAGGTTGAATATCCATAATACTCCCTTTATATATTACTTGTTTTCAGAAGAAAAAAAACTTCAACAAAATATAATATATTTTAACTACTAATTTATTAGATTCATATTTCCTACTCACGTGTATATTATGTTTTCGATCGTGTATACTATTAGATTTGTATTTTTGACCGTCTAAAAAAACAAAATTAAGTACCTACCGAAAAAATTAAGTATCACACACAATTAATGTATCAAATTAATATGAGATAAATAAATAAATAAATTTAAAAAAATTCAATTTTTTTTTAAATTTAAAAAAATAAAAATAGTCGAATTTCCACTTGAAATTAAAAAATAAAAATAAAAACCATATCAAACGCCACATATGCAGATTCTACTAGAATCTTGACCTAATGTCAAATTGGAGGGAATCTTGTTTTGTTGAGGGATTAAAAAAAATTTTTAAAAAAATTATGAGAAATCAAAACTCACTACTATTGTAGAGGATAAAATACATTTAACCCTTTAAACTAAAATAAAGAGAGAAGACTTTAATTACTTTTAAATCACTTTTACATGTTTAATTACTTGTAACTCTAAATATTAACAATTAATTTTAATTTTGATACAATATATATATAAACCTCTTTATTTATTTTAGTTCTTTTTTTAAAATAATTTTTATAAACTTGCATATTTTTATTTAAAATAATTTCTAAAAGTCTAACATACTTAACACTTAAACTAAAATATTTAAAAATTTATACAAGATGGCAACACAGCCCCTCTAATAACTCACAAATAATTTAATTATATTAATATTTTAAGTGTGTGGAGTTTTAGGTTATGGGAATGAATTGCTCATCCAATTCTTCGAGCGTATATGTTTCATATGATAGCTCCTAAAATATGATATATGGTTTTTTTCACTTTGGCTGAAATTTTTCATGCTGAGCAAGCAGTACAACTTCTATTAGTACCAACTCACCTTCTTGCATTTCCTTTGGCGTTACCTTATAGTTGTATCTTATGGTCGCACTTTACTTAGCGAAAAACTCTCGGATGTGGGCTACATCTCTTGTTTCGTCGATTAGATATGTAGTGCGTCTCAGCCCTAACTCGTTCACTTCCTGGTTAAATTGAGAACGCTGCCATGGGGGCGTGTCGATCTCTACGAATAACATATCATCTACTCTATAACCATGATGAAGGGAGTCTCATTGGTCGTTGAGTGAAGGTGGTAAGATACAACCATAATATTCATTGGAGTAGTTCCTCCCACGGCCCTTTGGTGTTATCCAGTTTCTTCTTGATCCCTTTTAAGATCACATTGTTTGCTATTTTTTTTTGTCGATTGGTCTGTGGACGGTCGACAGAGACGAACTTTGTTTGCACTCCTAGTTTACAGCTGAAGACAATAATTATGGTACTGGCGAATTGGGTTTTATTGTCTGATATGATAACGTCTAGACTGAATATGCACATGATCTTCTACTAGTAGAAGCGACAAATTCTCTTTGATGTAGTTTTGGCGACAACCTCCACTTCTATCCACTTTGTGAAGTAGTCGAGTCCTACAAAAATTTTCAATTGTCCAAGCACCAGAAAGAATGGCAAAAAATGCCCATCCCCATTGGTAAAAAGGTGTCGTATCCTAAAATTTGCCCTTTTCACATATATATAATATGGTCCATGCTCATGGGGCCAAGGGTTTTCTCTATGAAAAGAACTGCGAAAATTGACTATTCTGTTAAGCGGAATTTTAAAGCAGAACCCGGGGTTTTCTGCATTTTAATGCACTCCGCATGTTGTTCTAAGCTATTCAATTAACAACCAATCAAGTCATCATCATATCAAGATCTTATGCATTCCAACACGCTTTGTGCAGAAAGTCAGGCGTTTCATTTTATTTGAGACAGTGCTGACAAAAATTTAGTATTGTGCATTTCAAGCTCAGAAATTCATAACTTGAGATCAGAAAATGTTTTTGGAATGATTCTTCAGTCATTAGAACCGTCTTGATGTCTTCTTCATTTCATTTGTTCATGTCGAAGGCTAATTTTGTAAGAAAGCTTTTCTAAAGTGCAAAATACATGAAATACGCTATATAGTGGATTTACTGTTTCTCTGGTTTTTTGGATGCTTAAAAATTTACAACTTCTAACTGGAAAATCATCTTTGAGTGCCTCTTGGAGAATTGAATCGTCTTGTTATTTCCTTCAATTTTTGTGTTCGAGTACTTTGAAGCTATACAGTGCAAAAACAATGGAAATAATATGCTGAACTGATATATTTTGGGTGTTCAAAAATTCATAATTTTCTCCCAGTTTTTTGTTTTCAGGTGGTTCTTTGGGCATGAAATTTCTGGTATCATATATGAGATGTCAAAGGAGATGTCACGACACAAATATCTGAGGACAATGTAAAATGCAACAAAAGTAAAAACAGTAAAAACACAAGGGATTGTTAACCGAGTTCAGTGTACAACAACACTTACTCTGGGGGCTACCAAGCCAGGGGCAAGTCCATTAAATAATATCAATTAATAGACCCTCAGTAAACCATCAATTTACGATCTAATCGTTTAATCACTTCCTGTGTTATAATTCTACCTAAGACACACCTAGGTATGAGGCCCTCCTCAAATCCCTCCAATCACTTACAGTGAAGAACAACTGAAATAACAAGTTTTAAAGACTTCAATCATTCAATGCTTAAAAGCTTGTGAATGGTCCACAAATAACAACTCAAAATAACAACTCAAGTATTAAAACAATGCTAGAGTGTATGACAATTAAAAGACTTAGACTTTTAAAATAGAAGGAAAGTATTCTTCTTTAAAAGTTGCAGTTCAATGAATAAGGAAGCAAGTCCTTATAAAGGCGTAGCAGTGGGCTTGGGTTGAAAAACAAATATTCCAATATTTTGAATATTTCTATGAAAACATGCTAAGATATAATCCATAAGGATAAATCAAATAGAAAAATATTCCTCCATATTTTTTGCAGCCTATGAGTCACAAATCCTGAATTATGGCACGCATGAAAACAAGAAACAAAAAACTTAAACTGATGTGAGTTACGTTCAGCTCATGAGGCAGATGTCAAGACATCTGCTTTGACATCATTCAAAACAGTTTTCTCATAATGTCAATACATTTAACAAAACATTACCAAAGCATTGTTTACCAAAATTGCTGCCAACAAACACTTACAAACTCCCCATTTGGCAAATTTTGGCTAAAACATTATTTGAGCATATTATAAGAACATTATCAGAGCAGCAACATAAACAAAGAAAGCAAACAAAAACTCAGTTAGCAGTTAGCTGTTAGTAAAGGAAGATGTCAGAACATCTTCTGAGACATGAGGCTCCCTCTCAAGTATTAAGCTCCCCCTCAATCAGTGGTCAGTCGGTCAGTTTCTCTCCCTCTTTTTAGTCATAATATGCCAAATAGAAGGATGCATTCAAGAGTGTTTCAGTAATATAGGTACAGGCCATATAATTTAAAAGTCAAGCACATACAAGTGCCAAAAAGTAACAAAGGGGTCAAATAAATAAACAACAAGTAGTCTAACTGTCTTCAGGACCAGTAGACTTAGCAGAGCCAGAACTTCCTTCCTCACTATAATCTTCTTCTTCAGAGCTTAGTTTATCATCAAAGATGTTGTCCTTTTGCAGCTCCTTGATGATATTTTCAAAAGTTACCTTTCTTGCTAAGCTAACTCTGATC